AAGCTCATTTTGTCGCATTATTGTGTGAAGTGTGTAAACTTGGAACAAGTGCCATAACGGTCTTCCAAACGCTTCCACATATGCATTACGAGATGTATTCCCGTATACCGGTGCCGCCATCACTGGCCGCAATTGATGGAAATCGCCAACCGCAATAACACTTTTACCTCCGAAATCTGCGTCTCCGAATAAGTGACGCAGACGCATATCCACCATACGCAGCATAGGCTCTCCCACCATAGATATTTCGTCTATAATGATAACTTGCAAGCACTGTAATCTGGTAGCCATTGTGTTTGAAACATCCGCGGAAAGCTCAGTAAGGGTGTTGGAGTTGACTGGGAGTTGGAATAGCGTATGCAGCGTTAGACCTTTGATATTGAATGCTGCTTTCCCTGTCGGAGCGGCAAGCAGAACAGACGGAAAATCCGGATTGAGTTCCAAACGTCGTGAGAATATTCGAAGTAGAACTTGGTATATTGTGCGAATCAGAACTCTTTTTTCTTACCCCTACTCCACCGGTTATAAAGTGATATATTGGCTCGCTGCTGCGTTTGAAATGCGCTGCAATGTGCACTACATAGTCTTTCTGCTCAGAATGCAGCGAGCTCAGCATATTTTCAAATTCTGTCTGTGACACTTGATTCGGCAGCTGGAAAATCTCCGCGTATTGAATTTGCTCATATTGCCCATCTTCAACATGAACCACTTTCGGCTCATCAAGGTAATAATTGTCAAAATCAAATGTGGGTGCAGCTGGATCCGTCTCCGTCTCTGTTTCTCTAGCTTGCGCATCGTTCTGTGCTTGCTCCATGGCATCCTCCAATACACTGTTTGTGAAATAGTGGTACTTCTTCCTATTTTGCATTATTTCTTCACGATGCACACCAAACAACGCTTTGCAATCGGCATTTACAACCTCCTCTTCTTCATTTCGCCAGGGGTAATAGAGCATCACTAGCTCTCTGTAGAACTGCTGTGGTTCAGTTTGAACACTGTACATCCGATAG